CTTAGTATGTGTATTTGTTTATTGTAAAAATTTTCCTCACAAAAATATCATTTTACCATTTTCAAATGATATCAAATCTGAAATGATTTTTGAATTGTTAAAAATGACAAAATGATATCACTTTATTACAAGTGATAGCATTTCATGTCATTTGGAACAGCCTAAAAGTCATTTCAGACTCGATATCATTTCTGTAATGATTTCTGATTGATTTTAAATGATATTGAAATGATGACAAGTGTTATCAAATGGCTATGAGATTAAGTCTGCATTAGGAACAAATAAAAGTTCTTTGAGAATAAAATAATTCTTGATTGAATTTCACCATATTTCATGTAATTGATAATTGTAATTGTGACTGGTAACTATTCTACTATTAATTAAAGAAAAACAAAAATGTTATTAAACAGTTTCATAGAAATCAGAAATATTTAACAATAAAATTTTTTAAACATATTTACAAAAGATTCTGGACATGATGCTAAGTGATATAGATGATAACAAGTTGCTTGCTGAGAACATCAGTGACAAAATTCTAAAACTGTCAATTTTGGGAGTCTCATAGTGCACATAACTCAATCATTTACAGTAAAATATCTATCTTGTCATTATTCCACACAAAATCTTCAACACTTATAAAATTTTAACGCTTTAATAATATAACTAAAATTTAAAAAATTATTCTTTATTACTTGAAAGATAAGAAAAACTAACCTGTTAGAGAATAATTTTTTTAATTAAAAGATAGGTGTTATAGTACAAAGAAAAAATCAATTGGTTAACTCAAATAGTTGAATTGGGATGAAAGATTGAAGTTTCAACAAAAGCTATGAAAGCAATTACCTGACAATTTTCAGAGTTATATCACTAATGTTCTCAGAAGGTAAAGAAATGTCAATTACAACATAATATCACTTAATATTAATTGATGTCAAAGGTTTGAAAATCAAATGAAGAGCGTGTTTTAATAGATGAGAATAGGCGATTTCACTTGATGTCAAGTCACATATTGTCCATGTCCTAACAACTGATATCATTTCATATCACTTGAAATCAGTATCAGATTAACCAATAGACAAACAAGACAAATGACTAGGGCCATAAATCAGGGAGGGACCCAGAAAAAAATATAAATAAATAAAAGTTTTTCGTTATACCAGAAGCTCATTTATTATGCAATTATTATTATTGCATTAGTGTTTGTATTCTCTATTATTAATAAAAATTTTAAATGACATTATTAAAGATTTCTTTAGATGCAACTTATTTAAATGGGGCCCCAATTTAAATTTTGTCTAGGGCCTGCTAGAAGCTAAATCTGGCATTGTTTGAAATCAAGTACCGTTAACACATAATTTCAAATATTTTTACTAGAGATTATTATATCTTCAATGCCTTATCCTCTCTTTATGTGGAATAGTCAGCCTTTCCAGTGCCACAGGGGTGTCCCACTGGTAAGGCTGACTCCTGGCATCCTCCAAAGAAAAATTAAAAAAAACTAAAAACTTCTCCAAAAATCTTTTCCTAATTAAAATTTATATTTCTATGTACAGTACATTGTGTCATGTCTTCTATTTCTATACTACTAATGAATTAGCAGTCACATAAGAAGATGGGAATTTTTATTGGGCATTAAAAATTTCTTATCAGTTCAATTCCGCTCCTCCAACATTAAATTCTGAATGTGTCACTGACCCCATAGAGTATTAAAAATGATGTTTGTTGTTTTGTTAATATTATTTATGATTTTCTTTAGAATTGTTATTTTGTGTGTGTCCATTTGTAATTCCAAATGATTATTACAAATGTTTATTGCCTTAAATATGAATTTTGCATTGTCTGTTGTTAGCAGAGATGAGTTTACATAAAGATGAAAACATGACTTCTAGAGCCTTGCACTTGCAGATGCCTTGAAAATTTGGTAGTGTATTTTAGTAGTTAAACCGTCAAATTAATAATTATTGAAAATATAATTGTCCCAGTATTTCTTGCATCTGCAGAATGATCATTTTCAAAGTTAAAATACAAGAACTATCTACAATCAATAATGTGTCAAGAGAGACTTTCTTTGCTTTCAATCTTCTCCAATGAAAGAGATATTGCAACAGAACAGACTTTTTAATGGGCCTCAAAAATAAATGTTTTCTACACTTAAAAATCCTAGAGCTGTCTCTGCTTGTTAATAGAGTTTAGTATGGAAGAATGGTTCATTGCAAATGTATGAGCTCATAATCATCCACAAACAGGAAAGAGCACAAAGTATATTCAATGAGACTTCTTGCTATGATTTAACAAAGAATGTCCTCCCAACAAGATTTAATTCACTCCATTTTTTCATGATGTAGGAGTTCTACATAATATAAAACACTTGAAAACATTAAAATTCATTCACATAATTTATTTGTAACTTATCATCAATTTCATTGTTCTATCAAATAATCAGTAAATACAGTATATTTACCAGTCACACTACTTTCACTTCCCAGAAATACAGCAGGAGGCCCAGCTGAAAAGATGTGAACATCTATCCTCTTGAAATTTCTAATGGGACATACAGTAAAACAAAACAAATAAGTACAGTACTGCCTTAAAGTAAGATCATGTTTCCAGAGCCAGGGGCAACCTAGCAATTATGCTGCCCTAGGCAAGATAGTTATTTGCCGCTCCTTTTAAATATAGGCACAGTGTAATTTTAATCAAAAGATCTGAGGGCTCGGACCTTACACATTTAATTATTTAATTAATTGATTATTCCAAAAAGTGAAATAATCGATTATCTGAAATTAAGAATGTTTTATTATTTTTATTTTCTTTGGCCAATTTCTCCATCTCTAACAATCTGCTTCCTTGGGCAGCCACTCACCTTGCTCACCCTGTATCGGCCCCTGCTCACAGTGATAGGCCAACACCTTAACCATCTCAGCTATCAGTTTTTGACAGGAATATTTCTCCCATCAGGAGTACAGTAAACTATAAGTATCAAAACCTTACAAAAAATAAACATAAGGACTTCATGAATCTGTGAATATAAAACTTTCAGCTTTTATTGCTCATCTAAAGTAAGAAGCCGTCCATTAATTATGTGTAGGAATACAGTTTAAGGAGGGAGGGATCACAAAAAGTACATCATTGTAAACAATGGGATGGAGAAATCTAGGCATTGTCTATGTGGACGTTTTTTAGTGGAATTAATAGCATACGAATTTGTTTTTAAGCCTACTTATTAGTTATGTGAATAAAATATCAGAAAATATTTGCAGAACAAAAGGCATATCTTTAATGTCAGGGGTCTACGAATTACTGTAAAGAGGTAATTTGCAAAAAGTGCATCATTGAGCTCTTTTTGGTAAGGTGATTTTCAAGGAACTTTTATTTTCCTTCATCCAGAAAATGCAATTTTTTGATCCATCTAAAAGGAGTGCTAAGCTAGTTTTTTTTTTCAAACTAAATCAGTGTACAATGCAATAATGACTAATTTTCATTTAACACTTTTAGATACTGCTAGTATGGACAGCCTAGGCATCAGCCTACTACTTTGATGACTGCTCCAATTTCAGATATACACCAGATATGATGAGTCTCGTCCCTCACCAGCCGGCTGAATCACGATGGTCATGAGAAAAGGACAAAATGGATTGGATTAATTGGATAAAACAGTGCAATACAATAGCAATCTGCAAAGGTTGGTTTTTATACTTTTCGCCCTCTGGGCACAAAGAGGGCCTTTTCTCGAGCCAATCAGAGATTCGACTAGTCCCACAATGGGGTAGCTGGATAGTGAGGAATTGGAATGAATTGATGAGATAAAGTAATACAACTCGTGAGTAATCTGCCAAAGGAGGATTCCTCTTGGAAGGACTTTCTAAGAGAATCTGACCCCTATTTAGCAAACCTGGTAAACTTCACGCGATGGCCCATTGATGAGGCGCGAAACCGTTACCAATTACCACTGTTTAGGAGTTTTATTCACGTAGCCAATGGTGATTGGATGGTGAGAGGAAATGATGGACTGGCCCATACTGAACTTAATTTATTAAATATAAATTGCCAACCGGAATGGCGAGGATAAAGTTCAAAAGAGAAAATACAGGAAGATGCTCCCACTCACGTATTATTTACAGTATACTATTCTTGCGACCATGTCATAGTAAAAACTTTTTTCAAGCATTTCCTTGGAAAAATTACCACAGCATACAAAAAACCACTCTTAAATTTCTTAAGCTGCGCGTAGGAATTTTACAACACCCGGTATCTATAGGAAACGCTGTCTATTTAGCAGTTTAAATAGCCGGAATTTGCAGGAGGATTTGCGGTATATAGTATATACTCTCGGGCCGAAATTTGTATCTCTGGACCCGACGTTTATGGGACAGACAGCGCCGTAACTAGCCTGGTGCGAGCTTCTGTAACTACGCCCCAAAACTTGGTCCAGGTCATTTCTGCGCTCCCCAGGGTCTGTGCTAGGGCACCGCTGGTACTGCCCTAGTTACGGCACTGGGGACAGATCACTTATGAAAAAATTGCTGAAGTTTTTCAATCTTCCCGTATTCGATTCTGAGTCCTCCAGAGTGGCAGGCTGCCTCGGCCATCCCCCGTCTGAAACCCAAACTGAAAGCAACCCTAAATAATCTTATATTGAAATTAAGAAACTAATTGTAATTGTTTTTATTTTATAATTTTTTATTTGAAAAGAGTTTTCAAAATTATATTTCTAGATTCCGTTTATAATCTAGATTACACGTGCTCAGTAGTGATCGCGCTCGACTCTCCATAATTATGATCCGGACCTGACCCAGACACGGATCCCTCATTACGGATTTTGTAGAAATATTTATAATTGTTTGTTTTAAGCTACAATAATAACAATATTGATTTATACAGACAAATAAATTATAAAAATATGACGATATAAATATAAATAACTATAAACTGGGCACACGAAAATTAATTCATGAAAATCGAATTTACTACATATTAATTATTATTAAATATTTTTTAATATTCGTATTATTTTTATAAATATTAAAAACTTACAAACAAAATATTTGAGCGAATAAAACTTTCGGAAGAATTTACAATTTTTCGTTACCCACAATGCTCATCGAACGAAACTGCCATTTTGTAGTATTTTAGGACGGGCGATTTAGGTATGTAAAATATCCGGGAATTTATACTTTATCGCTAAATTGAACAATAATATAGAACAAAACCGTTTTATGATATTAAATTGTTAACGTATTCATGTTTTTTTGATCGGAAAAGTGTAAATTCCTTCTGATGTTGTTAGATTACTAATTCAATGATGAAACGTGTCTTTCTTCCGATTGTCTTATCGTTTTGATTTAATCTTTCTTTAACTTTTACTTTGTTGTTATAAAAATAAGTTTAATTTTTCTCAGGATTGGATTTATAATCGATATTTGTTTGAATTATTTAGATTTAGATCGTTGCTGGAAAGGAAATTCTAGATTTTACTTTCATGTAACATGTGATAATACGGTACAAATGCAGCTGTGAATGAGGCAATTGGGACCATAACAGAGTGGTAGACCATGGTCATAGGACTAAAAAAGTCAAAGGAACTGACGGTCTGTGTGTTTGGAGGCAAATATCTCGCCAAGAATCAAAATTGGAGATATTTCTTTGATATTTGGTTGTGTAGGGGGTCCAAACACCTCATACAGAGCTGCATTTATAATCTGTATGTATATATTTGCATATATCAGGGGTGGCCAAGCTCCTTGATAGTCTGAGCCATTTTTCAAAATTAAAATTTTTCGCGAGCCGCAATTAAAGGTATGCAAAAAATTCCAATTACAAAATATATCCGTAGCAAGAGTGATACAACTTGTTTCCTCCAGAGCACAATGTCAACTGTCCATTGCAATGACGGTTTACAAATTCAAAATCGGTCTGGAGTCGGTCGATAACGGACGATTACGCCACTGTTTATGTTCGTTCGCGCAGTTTTCGATGAGTCATATCATTCTTAACTTGGACGGAAATGAAATTTGTTACAACGTTGCACTTAGTCTTTCATATTTGTTGTTAGTAATTTAAAAGACATTTGAAACACATACGGACGATAATAATTTTTTAAAATATAATAACACAAAAATGAAAAGGGAACTCGGGTACAGTACATTTATCGAGAGCCACAAATAATCCTTCGAAGAGCCGCAGGTTGGCCACCCCTGGCATATATAAACACAAATTACTTAAGTTACTTCTAAGGGAACTTGTAACTTCATTATTTAATCTGGCAATGGAATACATTAACGATTTGTTTTTAAATTACAGGTGTAAACAAATGCAATTGTACTTGATAGTTGTTATAAACAATGTTAAGCTAGTGGCACTTGTACAGTTTAGGGGGTACAGCTTTTGAAAGTTTTCTACCATAAAATTAATCAATTCCAGATTAATTTGACTCGAACATTTCCAAAACTTGTATAATTTTTTGGGAATAATCCATACGAAATATGCTATAAACAAAAAATTGTAGGAATACTTACTGAGTGTGCAACGTTTGAAGACTCCTTGCTTAAACTTGTTTTTGTCGCTGAGCGGCACATCGGATGGTGGACGCGTATGAAGCTGTCACGTGACATCTGTTGGTGCTGTTTGGTCATGTGACTATTCATCTCTGAAGTGTTTCCTGATAACTTATTCTTTTTGCTGAACTTTGGCAACATTACGTGATAGATCATAATATACTATAGTATTTTTTATTGTAATTAGAAACGACTTACTATTATTATTGACTATATGAAGCGACAAAGGTAAAATGCAGGAAGTATATGGAGTTAACCATCTGTCTCTCTCTAATCTGTGGCTAGCTCTTGCCAAGTAGTACGTTCAGCAGCCGAGTTATTGTATGGTAAATGTGGCATTCAAAATTTTGTTCAAAAAGCAGGGCGTTCAAAATCCGAGGTTTGACTATATCAAATTTCAGACAGTTTGATCTAGAGATCCTGAGATATAAAGCAAAAATAGTTCCATGCAAACACAATTTTGTTCCCTTTTTTAATGTTTTTGGAATTGGTATTTTAAAATGTGATAAATGCAAAAAACATAGAGGTCAAAATTTGACTGACTGTGGCACTTTCTCTGTTATATTCTATAATGTTAAAAAAAATCCTGTAGTGTTTTGTTTAATTGATATAATTTTGTAAATTGTTAATTGAAATGTAAGAAGCATAAGTAATAATTACTGTCTTTAATTTAAGGCTTAAAAAATGGCAGAAGCTAAAGTTGAGAAGAAAAAGGAGAAGAAAGAACAACCAGAAGAAAGTACACCTGCAGCAAAAATCAAAGAACCCGTAAAACCTGGCAGGTAAATATATACTGTACATGTATGTACTAGACGTACATGCGCTATATTAGTTGATATAATAACAATGTGTACTTAAGTTTCTGTAAAAAAGGAAAAAAATCAACAAAAAAAATATTCTCCATATAGATGAAACAGTCGAGGATAATCATACTTTGGAACTGGTTGGTAATATCTGGAAATTATTTCTGTAGGAAAGGAACCTCAATCCACACTAATGCTTATCTTGTCAGACCATCTTTATGCTGTCACCTAGCAGATGAGTGGTGTTGATTGGTCAAAAAGTAATGATAGCGAAGATTAAGATTGTTAGATTACAGGTGATCTTGCCTGTTTTCACTGGGTCCTTCTCTTTAGAGGCTAATTAAAGAATTTTTAGATGTGTCTAAAAATATGTTTGATTTCCTGCAAAAATGCATCTAAACTAATACAGTAGAAGCTTAGTTCTTCAGGTTAATCATTAACCCTCTCCCTCTTCCCGTGGGAGGGAGAATTTTGAAAAATCTCTTCTTAACCTTTCAACAGTGGCCTAGTCAGGTATGGTATGGTCAGTAGTGGAGAATAAACATGGGAAATTTTTGAAGTATTTTTCCACACGTTTTTTTCTCATTACTGTTTCGGAAAAAGATTTTGTAAACAGTTATGTCTAGTAAAGAAAAGTCTTTTTTTATTGTTACATAATTCATTTTTTATGTGAAATTTTTTTGCAGTAGTTTTAGGCTAGTTTTTGGCGATACCCCCAAAAGAATTTGACGACTATAGTCATCCCTCACCACTGCCACATGATCACCCTTAATGCCTATAGTTGTTGCTCACTGCTGAGTGGTTAATGTATAGTACATTCTCATTATGTACCCTAACTGTGTACCAAATTTCAACTTTCAACTCATAATGTTTGGGCTCTGACCTAATTATTATCATCAACTTATCTCAATTATATATATAGATGCCATAGATGCTTTTTGGGAACTTCCTTCTCCACTTCAGTATAAATTTCTTAAAAATTTGTTTTTCTTCTGGATTATTAAATTAAAGGAATTACATACTTGAATCTATTGTTTCAGAATCTACAATTTTAGATTAGTTGGGAGCTAAAAGGGACTAGGGGTTCCTCACAACTGTGTCATCAAATAGCACACTACACTTGTATTTAGTTAATACATAGCAGAACAAGATATAGCCTGATGTGATGTTTTTCTTTATACACTGTATATTTGAAGTGGGCTTCAAGAAAATGTTATTACAAACACTGTTCTTCAACTGGACAACTTTAGAACAGATAACTTGAAAGTGTTATATCAAGGGGTTGAGTTTTTTATTTTATAATTTATAACTGTTGAATTTGTAAAACAATTTTTTAATAAGTTATTTTTAACTGTTTTAACACAGAAATTAAAGCAGTTTATATTATCATTAGATCTAATTATCATTTTCATAATTTAATTAATTAAAGATACAAAGATTAGATAGACTGCTTTAGGTCTAGAAGTTTGGTTCTATCTTTGTTTTTATTATGTTCAAGAATGGTTTGTCTTTTTCAAACTCCAGGGATTGTAGAAATATGATTATAAAATTAAAATATAAATATATAAAAAGAATGAAAAATTTTAATTTACTTTTTGCATTATTCCTAGATTTATAAAATACAGTACTTTTTCTGATACAACCTTTTGCATTTATAGCTACAAATTTCTGTTTTAGATGGGAATCTATTTTGTGTATTTTAAAATTTATTGCTTAAAACAGTATATTTCTCTTGTAATTCTGTGCTCAAAAATTAGATTTGGACTTTTGCATAGCATATTATTCATACTTCAAAATCTAGGACAAGATCTTAGGATTTTTGAGAATACATTTGTTTCAAATGACAATTAACTGTGCTGTTTAACACATACATAGCCAGTGATGCCCTGGAGCAGTTTACATGCAACATTGCATGTATTGACTGTTTGTTTGCATTGTAAAAGTTTGCTGTGTTTTTTGCTTGGGAAATTTTATTTTTGTTTTTAAAAAAAAGTGTTTTTTATTGTTTATTGTACATTTCTAAGAATTCATTACATTGTATATATTTTCTTTCGTGATTCTGACACATAATAAACAAAACATAAAATTGTTTTGGTACATAACAAGGGACATTCCTAGTGAAGATGTTAAGGTTTGTATTTAAATCCCTCAAATTTAAGAATTATTTGGTTTTGGATGTCATTTAATATAACATTAGTAATTAATTCAATTAAAATAAGTCACTATAAATTAAAAATTATATTAAATGTTCATTAATTTTTCAATTAATTATATTTTTTTTATTTGAACTTTACTACTATATTCTGTACCTTTCCTTTTTGCAAATGATGATAAGTTGTGAGCAGCTCCTATATTAAAATCAGTTCTAATTAAAATATCTTAATTCAAAAGGAAAGCTTAACTTATTTTCATTATGTATTTAATTTGTGGATTCACTTTCGTTTTAGACAATATTATTGGCAAAATAATGTGTAAAAAACAAATGGAATTTGTTCTGCAGTTTCTGTATTTTAAATTTTAGTGGTAGAGATTAATTACATGAGAGAACATTTAATTTGTTTTTTGTTCCAACTTATCTTAAATTCTACTTTTTTACGTAACCCTCAAAATGAATTGGATTCTTTTATTTTGATGATTGATTTAATATTTCATAGTTTATAGGAATTTAATTATATATCAATATTATTTTCAATAATTGACATTGTTCTGTACTGTGTTAAATGACATGAATTTATTTTGAACAGATTGTACTGTAAAGCGGTCTTTGTCGGATACAGACGTGGTCTTCGTAATCAGCACGAAAATACGGCACTCTTAAAAATAGAAGGCGTCGTCACTAGAAAGGAAACAAATTACTATCTTGGAAAGAGATGTGCCTTTGTTTATAAAGCTAAGAAGTAAGTATTGTTTCATTTATATACACTTTGATTTGCTTTTAAAATTACTTTTTTTTTTTTTTTAATCATTAAACGTAACTTGAACACTTACCATAAATTTCCAAGAATAACCAATAGGTTGTGTTTGTTTTAGAGTTTATCTGAAAATGGTTGAATCAGATATCTGTTGGTTTTAAATTGCAATTATAACTCTATCCAACAGATTTTCTGTTCTCTAAACTTGCAGTCACTTTAAACTTCGTGAAGAATCCTTTACACATTCATTGCTATTTTTTAGAAACCACCAAAGTCACATACACATACATCTCAACTTCAATTATCTCTTGCTTTTTGTGCAACTTACATTTGAACTGATTATTACACACACTTTATTTAAATTTGTTTTATGAATAATAAACACTTTTAATTTCTACTTAGACAAGTAAGTAGAAATTGAAATTGATTTAACTCATTCTTGTTCATTTTACTTTTATGGTACATTGTGTAGAAAATGGCTTTTTAATTCAATTTAAATATTTGAAATAAAAAAATGCAGATAAAATGTGAATTACTTTAAGTCTTAAATCTATATTAATCATTTAAGTACACCTTTTTTTTGTACAAATGGGGAAGTAATTTATTAATATGATAAAGTGATCATGCACCATCAGATGAGACTGATAGTGGTAAAAAGTTAAAAGTTAATCTTTCTATCTCAAACTATAAGAGACAGGAAAAAAGTTAATGAGAATTATTAGGAAATGACATATTATAGAAACAGATGGTGCAAAAAGAAGGCTGAAAATGCTATGCATAATGTGCAGCATTTCCTGCCTTTGTATGGAAGCATACTGCTTGTATAAAAAAGATGTAGCTATGACACCATTCCTAAAGATAAAATTTGCATGTAGGCAATGTGCAAATGGTTGTTGGAGAGTTATTTGAAGAACATTGCATGACTGCAATGTGAAAAATATGCATAAAATGCTAGGGAAGCTGCATGGTAGTATTCATTACAATATCTTTGCATCCCACATCTAACAACATGGACTATTTTTGAGCTGTTTGATCTCCAGCTCCCAGTCCAACAAATTGAAATTAAATAACAAAATCTTTTTAAAATTAAATTCTAAATGCTGATATTAGATTACTTTAGAATTTAATAATTTTAAATAGACAACAAGATAAATATTAA